AAGTTTTTAATGGTGCAATTGCTTAGCTGGACTGACGGAAGGGATAAACTGAGGAAAAACAAATGTTGGGGGGACAAAGTGAGAAATGATTTATACTTAAAAGGGAATAAATTGCGATTAACCCTGATTTCTAATTGGTTGTATACGTATATGCATACGTGCAGGGTATTCATATATGTCAAGACACAACATGGGACCCGTAACGCGTCCCAAGTCACAGACAGCATCGTCGGCAGCGGGGGCACGATGAGGGATGGCATATTATCAAACGGACAGACAAATACTTGGATCCAAACGAATCGAGCCACTCTCTGATTTTTAACAAAATTAGTTCAATTAGAAAAAATAATATTAAAAAATATTTTAAGAAAAGAGATTAAACTTTTATTCAATAACTACTCCTTACGCATGTATATAAGTTGTATTAGTAAAAACATAAAAATAATTAATACACATATTTCATCTTTCAAAAAATTCATATTTAATAAATTAGACAATACAAATAAATAACAAAACTCCATTAATGATTACAAGATCTAGCAAAACAAACTAATCATCTTTTTTCATATGATATTTGCTATGATTCTTGTGATTTTGAACAGAAAAATTTTCTAATTTTGCCCTTTTTTTTCCTCCTTCCTCTATTAGGTAAAAATTTTTGAATATATATCTAATGGAGAAAAGAGGGAAAAGAAAGGTAAAATTCAAAAATTTTACTGTTCAAAATCACAAGAATCATAACAAACATTATATCAAAAGAGAGTTTTTTTGAATCTTGTGATCATTAGTATAGTTTTGTTACTTATTTGTGTTGTTTAATTTATTAAATGTAAACTTCTTGAGTGGTGAAATGTGTATACTTATTGTTTCTAACTTTTAATTATTTTTATTATTTTACTACTACAATTTATATACATGCATCAAAGGGTATTTATAGAATAAAAGTTTCGTTTCTCTCTTTAAAGTACCTTTTAATGTTATTTTTTGGACTAATTTTATCATCAAAATCTTAACCTCAAGGAAGATTTATGTAGAGGTTTCTGAAATTATCCCAATAAGAATTGATTTGGCGCTCAAAATTTACGGAAACTCAAGCCCTCATAACTATTATCCACCTCGTTGGTTCCTTTATATACGCGCGCGCATAACTATTATCCACCTCGTTGGTTCCTTTATATACGCGCGCGCGCGCGCGCGTGTGTGGTTGGCTGAAAAAATCTCGTTGGATGTGCGATCTTTTTAATTAGGATAATGGTTATTTTATGGTAGCTGGTAACCAATCCACAGTTTTACAATTTATTAGACTAATAGAACTTATTTAAAAAATTAGGATATGATGTTTAATTTTTAAAAACTGCAATTATCCGAACTTACCTACATATGTATAGAGTTGGTTACGATGACTAATTCTTGTATCTATAATTATTAGTTATATGATACTAAATTCAGTTAGGAGACCCATTATACATCTATCATTTTTTCCACAAATTTTGAACTTCACTCATTAATCCTAACTCCCTTCTACCATTTCCAAACCGTGCATTCATCGCCACTAACTCGTGCGCTTTACTATTATGTTGTTCCTTTCTTTTGTTGTATACAATTAATTTCCTTATATAAGCATATTATTAGTATCTATATTACCATATGATTAAAACTATTTTTGAATAACAATTATAAAAGTATTAAGTTTTCTTTTAACCAAATTTCTTATAATAAACCAATTCTTAGTTTCTTTGATTACTATAACTTTAAAATAGCAACTAAGGTGACATTATATATGTTACATATGAAATCAAAGACAAAGAAAAAAAAAAAAGGAAACTGCCATAAAAATTGAAAAAAGTTTCAACCTTGATTTTGAATATCTCACACTGATAGTAAATAATACGGCATAGAGTTCAATTTTCATATTTTTTCTAATTTGGATATGTTTTGTATTGTTTTCATTGTCAATTTAATTATATTTTTCATTTTTAATCTCAGTGTTGGGTAACTCTATGTCCTTGATCCTATTCCATAAGTTTAGAATATGGAATAAAATTTTTGCTATTAGGATCTACGAAATTATAAGGGGACTGGTTACTTGGTCCATGAACACTTCTACTCGAGCCTCCTACATTGTACAAATATTACTATATTAATTACTAAATAAAAAGTAATTAATTACTACATTGTACAAATATTATTACTATATTAATCACTATAAATATCATGTATGCATCACAAAGGCTATTCATGAACAAGACCTTTACTATATTTATACCTTTTCCTAATTACTCCTTCTTTTGAATAGCTCCTACCCCTCTTTGTACTTTTTCAACCATCAACTGTCAGATTCAGAATTCGAATCCTGAATTTAGAAACTATAAGAGTCATTCCCTAAGACACTGGACCTTCTCTAATTACTCATTTCTGAGAACTCTTTAATTTCAAAAACTGATTTAACCATCGGAGTAATTCTTGGAACTTGACTTATATGTGTTGGTAGTTCATTCTTTTATGTAGGTCATATCCATCCTTGTCGAGCAATCTTAGCCCAACTTAGTTCAGTTTGGCACTATTATTTAAGGGTGCTTTTGATAAATTTGAAGTCTGAAAACTGAAATATGAAATATGAAATTTGAATCCATTAAATTATTAAATTGTTAAATATTAAATATAATACATTTGAGTATATATGACATTCAATGATAAGTGAATAGTTTATTACTTATTTTGAGAGCAAGTTTTGTCCAAAAAAATATGGTGCCGCTTAATTAATTTAGATATTCAATTTTTAGTTATCAAACGCATCGGAACATGTTAAGATCTGAATCCATTAAATTTAAATGCTGAATTGGATTATTACATAGGGTCTAAGTGTTTTTATAGCTCTCTTAGTTTAAATTTTTTATAACACGTGCAACTCATTTCAAAACAATATTAAAAACTCCTCATTTTAGAAGAGAGAATATAATCTCATTCCAAATATTTCAAATTTGCCATTTTATTGTCTTAGTTTGTAGTACAAGAACGTGATAGAACTATGGGAGGAGGAGGAGGATCATATTATTAATAATCAGGGACTGAGCTATGGTAGGAGGAGGACCATATTATTAATAATCGGGGAGTTTGAAACTTCTTTTTTTTTTTTTTAAAGCACAGTTATCTGTTTGAAACGTTGTTCTTCATTTGCATTTCAATTCTTGACAAATTTTGTTCAAAAAGATGGATGTAAGCTTACCTTGAAAAATCATCCATCAATGACGTATATGCGAGTTCAGGACATAGTAGCTTGTAACGACAAAATACAAGTCAACGTCATAATTTACTAGCATTGCATCAGATTGAATTTTCCATAAACTATTCCTACCGAATGACTGACAGAGCTGCATAAGACACATTCCAATTTCAGGCTACCACGCAAGTAGCTAGAGAATCAAAGGTGCCTGTTTTTGTGCATGTGCTATCAGTTGGGCTTAAAGGCAATGTTTTTAAACTCGGACCGGCCAGAGAATCGGAGATAGGGACGGTTCACGGTTCGACCGGTCCGACCGGCCGGTTCAACGGTTCAATGTTTTTTTTGGCTTCATAGTTCTTTACTCTACAGTCTACACTGAAACTTAACGGCTAATATACAATCTAATATGATTATTAATAACTTAAATCCCTAAAATACATTTACCAATATAACTTAAAATTAAATTTAAATTGAGATAAAAATAAATTTTCTAAAAGTTATACATGAAACCTGGCATGATAAATATAACTAAAATATCATAATTCATCGCAGGTTTTCATAAATTCATTACAAACATAAATAGATATAGTCCAAATGTTCATCAATTATCACAAACAAAAACACAAAAATAAATAAAATAAATGTTGACATTCTTTCACAATTCTCAAAAAGTCCATAATAGAGTTCAACTCATATTCAAAGCAAACAATTTGAATAACAAATTTCCATCATTGGCATGACAAGGCAACAGCACCTCCTTCACAATTTCATCAATTTAACCTGAAAAATTAAAAAGTTTATTACAAAAAATATAAATCTAATTGGTGGAACTAAAAAAAAGTCAAAAAATTTCTAAAAACAAAGATACAACCAAACACAAAAAGAATCAATTGCTACTAAATATTACTAATTAATATGTTATATTACCAATCATTATCTTCATCATCATCCAAAAGGCGCCTACGCTGAAATGCTTCCAAATCAATATCATTATCTTCCCCAACTTCACTTTCATCATCTATATAAATAAATAAATGAACAATTAAGAATTTATCCATATTTATAATACAATTCAAATTAAAAAATGTACTTTTAGCACCTTATATTACAAGTTAAAAATATATTTATTTTACTATTAAAACCAACCTTCAACTAGTTGAGAATCATCTTTAGGAAGTTCTTCGAGTTCTTCCTCCAATTCATCACAATTAAGCTCGCCATCTTGTTCTTCTTCTATGACCCAAAATTTCGTTTTATCAATAAATTCATAATCAATGGGATCATAAGATCTCTTTCGGTGATCAAACCTACAATAAAATACATCAGTTACAAATCTAATATTACTTTGTAAAATAAAATGTAAAGAATAAAGTAAAAAATCAATTATACCTATGTTGCAAACGCAAATTGTAGTGCACATATACAAGATCATTAAGTCTTTGGTGCTCCAATCTATTCCTTTTTTTAGTGTGAATACGTTCAAAAATGCTCCAATTACGTTCACACCCAGAAGAAGAAGCAGTTCGACTCAAAATTCTAATTGCAAGCTTTTGCAAATTTGGAGCATCACAACCATATAACTTCCACCAATTTTCTGTCACAATCATATTAAAATATTAGATCAAATAAAGAATAAAATCACAATTTTTAGACATTAAAAAAAATATAAATAACCTGGCCGATCAGATTTGCTAGTAAGAATAGCAAGTTTGCGCCCAAAACTCCCTTGTCTTTCCCGATACATTCCAATCTCTTGCGATAATTTTTCAGGGTTGCATCAATCCACTTTTGTTTCAATATAATCAAGCAAGCCATTTATAACCTCTGGATGTGTACAAAATGTGGCACTCTCATATTGAAAAGCAGGATTCAAATAATAAGCGGCAGCATGTAGATTTTTTCTCAACATTCTATCCCACCTATCACTGATGATGTCAATATAAGGCTTGTACAATCTCTCTTTATTTCTAAACAGCCTTTTGATGCCATTTATTGCTCTAAACATGCCTTCATAAACATAACCCAATGAAGGCGTTTCATCAATGTCACAAATATGCAATAAACGAATGATAGGACCCATTATTCTCACCATAATCAAACAGTTATTCCAAAACCTTTCATCCAAAACGATTTGCTTCACATCTTTTTCTTTTTCTATTCTCAGAAATTGTTTGTAATCCCCACTAGTAACCAAAGATTGAAAACTATCCTTATGATCATGCAAACTTTTTAATGCAATAATGGTAGTTGCAAATCGAGTTTCACCTGGACGAATAATTTCTTTCCACCCTGTAGTCTTTCTTAACCAATTCAAAGTGAACTTATGATTGTAAATAAAAACAGTCACCGTTGAAGCAAGAGACACTATAGCTTTTACATCATTCATTTCACCAATGTCTTTCAAAATCAAATTGATGCAGTGTGCAGCACACGGTGACCAACAAATGTTCAGATATCTTTCACTTAACAAAGACCCAGCAGCTTTATAATTGTTAGCATTATCAGTAACTAAGTGCACCACATTATTTGAACCAACCATCTCAACAATTTCAGCAAATAAATTGCACAAATTTTCTGCACTTGTTACAATATCAGATGCATCCACAGATTTAATGAACGAAATACCCTTAGGACAATAAACCAAAAAATTAATCAATGGTCTTTGCCTAGTGTCTTTCCATCCATCACCCATTATAGTGCAACCAGTTTCTGTCCAAGTACTTCTAAAAGAATCAAAAACCAATTTCACATCTCTCTTGGCATTTCGCAACAAATTAACTCTCAAAGAATGATAGGATGGACTTTTGTAACCATGACCCATTAATGCTATTTGATCAATAGCTTTTTGAAAAAATGGAGAATTAACAGCATTTATAGGAATACAAGCATCATAAAACCAAAGAGCAATAGTTGTGACGACCCCACCTCCCCCTAAGGCGTACCAAAGGGTTCGGCGGATCGCCTGCCCAACTCTCGCCAGGACTCACTGACTATCTCAATCGAGTCATGTACACACATCCATGAACCATAAATAACATTCACAATTCAAGTTTATAATTTACATTGATAGAAATCGAGGTACAAAGTCTCAATACACCAAACTAGTTCAAAACGTATACAATCCAAGTACAACATGTTCCATTCGAGGAATAGAGCGAGTACAAGACCAAAAAGTCAAAAGTCAAAACAAAAGGTTACGCTAGTTTTTTACAAGTCTCACGCGTCACTCGTACCCCTTTAAGGAAAACAAATTAACGGGGTGAGCCAAAACTCAGTGAAATTTCTAAATATCAAATTGGTCAACAAATCAGGTGATAACAAAGTAATAGTGAAATAGCGAGCAAACAAGTCAAATCAGGAAAATAGTACTTCAGCTAGCCAGGTAATATCAGGTTCACATTCACATGTAAGGATACAGTAATTCAAGTCTTGGCTCCATTCCAGCTTGATCAAGTGGTAGTTGACACTCCGTCAACTTTCAAGTCATAACAAATCCAAAATAAAACTCCACTACACGCCAATCTCCGTCCATCAATCAACCCCCTTTTTCGGGCCCGCACGCTACATGAAACACGGGTGGTAATACTCGAGTATACCGTTTAGTCGAGAAGATAACACTCCACTCGACATTACAAGTGACCCAGGGTTCGTTATCTAATCGACCAGACCCTTGCCGGCTCGACTCGATTAACTAGCCACAGGGTTTCTGGAATTCCAGACAAAACATATTTCAAGTACATGTACAACAAGTCAAGTACGATCAATAGCAAGAACAAGTCATATTAGGGCAAGTGCTGTAAAGTACACACTTGCCCTATCATTCATTTCTTATATAGTCATGTAATTCAGGTAAGGAACACATGTACCCAATACAATCGGATATTTGGAAGTACTAAAAAATATAAGGTTTCAGGTATTCACGTTCAATTATACTCCAGGCTTGGAGTCCAGATTTGCGATAAAAATCCAGTTTAAGAACTTTGAAACACGAGTAGGATTCGAAACTTAAACGTTCCGTTCATTAAGAATCGACCAATTAAAATTCATTTGAAAGACTCTCGTGAAATACTTGCTCGCTTTTCAAATCGTAAGGTTTTGTAGCATAGATGCTTGAAAATAACACTTGAGTTGAAAGTACAAGGAAATACAAGTTTACATTGGCCATTATGTCTTTTCCTCAAGGGTACAAGTTCTGCCAAGTCCTAATGTATAACCCTCGATAAACATAGTAGCAAAGGTTCCCGCTATTTCAAGTGATATTCACTTAACCTTTACTCAAGTTGCAAATATAGTTTTCTAGTTCTCGAGTGTAAATTCGGGTAGCATGCCCTTTGTGTTTACCTAATTCAAGTAAAAAAGCCGTTCCATAGGCTCATCATATCATAAGAATAAGAATCACAATAATAAGAAGTGCAGAAATACAATCTAGCACAAGACAGATTTGACGTGTGGATGCGGAAATAACATATCCGAGGCTACGCTTATCGGATTGAGGCGCAACTTAGCCGTTTCAAAGCTAAGACACAGGGCTACAATGTTCATGAAGGTCACTTAGTCCAGTTTCCAATGCAACTTAGTCAAATCCTCAATTTACAGAACTAAAATCTAACTCGTCGGCTGTCTAATCGCATTGTACTGTAATGGTCATATCTCAGGTTACAAAAGTTCGATTCAGGTGTTCTTAGAGGCGTTTGAAAGCTAAGTCAGAATACGACAACTTTCATGTTTTGGTAAAAAGCTAAATCAATACGGATCCTAGTGTAAAAACGTGATAAACTGGATAAACTGACCAAACGGACTGCTGGGGAAAAACTTAAAATAGTAAGGGTATTTTGGACTTTTTACGACCTACGTTGCTCCGATTGAGATGAAATTTTGTAGGCACTTATAAAATACCATTCTCTACAACTTTCATGCTTTAACCTAAGGCCAATTCAGCCTCTAACATAGGGCTACAAAACCGGACAGAAAGGGGGGAAAAATTTTCCAGAATCTGGAATTTTTGCTCTTCAATGACACTTTCTCAAATTTCTTGTTCCAATCACTACCAAAGCCCCTTATATAACCTTATTTACAACATATACTAACTATACAACAGGTTTAGGCAGAAAATTATGAATCCCTAACTAGCATATCTCATCCAATAATCATCACAACCACTTGCACATCTTGAAATCAAGCCAAAACTTAAGCTAAATAAATCTTAAAACAAGATTTAAAAGATCAAGGACCATGATCAGATTTATACCTAAAAAAAAACAGGCTTGAAAGAGTGATCCTTCACCCCCTTTGAAATTTCTTAGTTCCTCAAGCTTCCCAACTCACACTTAGCACTTTAATCGGTTTAGAATTGGATTTGTTACTTGGGTTGAAGCAAATCAAGAAGGAAATTTGTTGCTCTTGCACTTCTTTTCTCTCTCTCCTTACTCGGCCAAGGTGCAGAAATAATGAAGGAGATTAAGCTAAGTTTGTCTTATAAGAAGGTAGAAAGATAAGAATTAATTCCAACCACAAGTTTGGCCAACAATTGGCTTAACCTCAACCACAAAAATTTTCTCTTTCCTTCCTTGCATTTGAGCCACAAATTTCGGTCAAGCTTAGCTGTAAATTAGGAAATATTTTGCTCAAATATCAATAAACTTGTATGATAAGAAAGTGGTAGTCAAGTGGCGTTCAACCGGTAGTGCGCGGGACCGGTCGGTTCGCGCCGTTTTTCTTAAAAATACAAGTACTAGGGTTTTTTCTTCCCATTCACTAACCTGATATCATTGCTCCTATTCACATATTATTTCTCACTTAAAAGTCACTTTTAATCACCAAATTGATCATTGGTCAGTACCGAAAATTCATCCGACAAAAAAATTCGCGAAAACCCTAATTTGCTCAAATCTTGAAAACGAAGAATAAAACCCTACTTTCTAGATTCATTTGCACTTATTATGGAATAATTGGATAGTAGGACTTTAATAAATGATAATTTTCAAATAAAAGGAAATTTTTAAGAAAACGTGAGGAATTTTCCAATTTCAGTAATTAAAATTAGGGTTTCAATTAAAATAGGAGAGATTTAGGAAAACCGGTTAGTCACAAGTAAACTAGGGTTTTGACTAAAATATTAGGGTTTCTAATCTTTTAAAACAAAATAAGGTTTTAAATCAAACCCCAAAGAAACTGTGAGGCCCCAGTTCGTTCTACGTTGATATATTTATTAATTGGGCGGTAACGTTTGGTTTTGGGAGTATTTCGAAAACTCTAAGTAGGGATTAAGATTTAAACCCTAAGTTCCGGTTAAGATTAAAAACCCGTTTTTTCTACATTTTCTTTATTAGAAAATTCCCCAGATAATTTTATTGAGTAAATAGAGTTTTTAGATGTTTTTTTTAGTATTAGTTAGTTTTTGAGAAATTAAGAACGTATATCGGACGTGGGACCCACTAGTGCGAAAAGTTCGGAAAAATTCGGCCAATTACGTTAAATTCCGGATACTGTGTAAAATTTATCGGGTGTTAAGAGATAAGTGGAGTGTGTGAAATGATTGATGTGAGAGAGAAAAGAAAGGATAGGAATGCATTAATGGTGGTGACAAGTGTCACCATTTCATTGGAGAAGACTTATGAATTACTATTTCATTTTTTGACTTTTGACCAAATTGGTTAAATATCTAAAAAAATTAGCCAAAAATCACCATTTTCTTGCACCTTGTGGCCGGCTCTCTCCTCTCTCTCTTTCTCTCTCTCTTGCTCCAAGTACAAAGAAGAAACACTTCAATCTTTTTCCAAATCATCAAACCAACCATCCAATCTTGATTTTGCTCCATAAAACATCTTCAAGTGGTGGTTGTGAGTTGTTTTGTGGATTTGTTTGGAAGAGCTAAGGTGGTCTACAACTCCTCTTCTCTTGTATACTAGGTAAGTGATGATTTAACATACTCTTGCACTTAATGAAGCTTAAGTTATGCTTATTAGTGATTAAAGTGCTGAAATTTCTTGTTTTTATCTTGGTTTGGAGTGATTTGGTGAAGTTTTCCATTTTATGATGAATTTTCTGGTTTAATATGAATGGGATGTTGTGGCCTTGTATGATGAATGGTAATGGTTTAAAATGACTCTAGTGGGTGTGAATTGTTGCAAAATGCAACCAATTTTGGATTTGGAGTGAATTGAGAAAAGTTAGGGTTCATAATCCCCTAATTCTGTCCGGTTTTGGATCATAGGGTTAGAGGCCGAATTTGACTTTGCTCAAAACATGAAAGTTGTAGGTATTGATGTGTTTGAGGTGCCTGTAAAATTTCAGGTCATTTGGATTAGTGTAGAGTGAGATATGACGAAATTACTGTAGCTGTTCTGCTTTGGACAGAATGCGAAAACTGCGATAGTAATTGGCCATTTTGACTGGTTTTGGTTTGGATTTTGAAGTTGGTGTCTTCTGATGTAATGTAGCAGGATGTCTTATCTAACATATGCCTTTGGAATTTCGGCATTTGGACTTGTATAGACTAAGTTATAGTAATTACAGTTTTGTGTGATTTGCAAACCTGTTTTGGGAATTCTGGTATAGTATTTTGCATATTTGACCTAGTTGTGTTAGGAACTGGATTGAGTGGTCTTCTACATTGTTGTAGCCCTGTTTCTTAGCTTCGAAACGGTGGGTCTTACACCCCCATCCGATAACCGTAGTGAATTTGGTTCCATTACCACATATTGAGGTCAAATACGGTTTGTGATTCTAGTACGTTTTTGGAAAGTTTATGGCTGGAACTTTGGCTTCACATTTGACTGAGTTACAAGCTGTTTGGGCTTCCGACCAAAACACCAAACTTAT